GACTGGACATGTTTGCTTAGAGTCTGTTCCATGCAAGCGATAAGTATCCTAACTTTGGTGTACCGGCTGTTTCACGTCGGGACACAGTCGGATTGTAACGTTCGATGTGACGTCATGTTGTGGCGCCATTGCGTCACTATTATGGAGGGAGGCTTTAATGATTGGTGAAGACTGAAGAGTCGGGAAGTCTCTTTGAAAGCAGCCTATGACCTATCGGTTAATCACTACATTGTGACGCCACTGAAGCGTCTTTCGCCCTGAGATATCGGATGCAAATAGCTCTAGGTATTTATTGTCCTTCGGCAATAGGCTTTGCAGGTGTTGTTGCAGCCTAAGAGAACTACGTCAAGGAATGGTCGTTAATTTCCTGAAAATCTTGCTCGGAAATAAGATTGATGTTTTACAGGGTGTCCCAAAAGTAAGGTCATGATTTAAAACTTAAATATCTCGAGAAGTAAGAGTCCGAATCACTTCCAATTTTAACACGTGCAAGGTACATCCATAAAATTATTTTCTTGCATGCCTAAACCATTTTTGATCATAACTACACCGAGCAGTAGGCATAAAACTGAGAAGGTCGAAATTCAACTCTTAGAGAGGGTCCGTCATTAAAACAAAGGGTAAATACCGCCCAGTTTTCGGCCCTAAGCAGACCCTATCAGCTCGCCCTATCTCTGAACTCATGCATAGTTTCGCCTCAACCGGTAAAACGTCAGAAAAAAGGTATAACGTACGCACAGGGCATGTATACTTAGCCACCAGTGCTTCGAGGTCCTGAGGACGACAGCGGGAATCGGGTGAAAATAAATCAAGAGAGGTGGCCGAGAGTCCTCCCAGTGGTTCTTCCGCTCGTCGCAACGCAGCTGTGCCGACACCATCAACCTGCAGTGGTTTCAGCAGGATGGAGACTATGCTTGCACCGTCCTGAAGATCATGCATTGTCTCCGAGAGTGGATGTGAGATCGCGTAATTTTCAGTCAGGGCAACGCCATTGAATGGCCTCAGCGGGCACCTGACATTACACCTTCATATTTTTATTCTCTGGGTACACAACGGAAAGGTTGTCTTTTAGGACAACCCAACGAGCCGGGAAGAACTAAAGGATGATCCCTCCGAGCAAACATAAGCGGCATCTCACCAGAGAATCGCTCCAGAATAGTGGAGGAAGTAAAACGCAGGTCTATTCATGCACGCGGCCCGAAATGGTAGCCATGCAGAAAAGCAGCAAATGTGGGGCTACGAGCCAATGTATTGACTCATATGTATATCAGAATAAAATTTTATAAAATGCTCTTTCATATCATGTCCTATTTATTTCTATCCATCGCGTATTTTTGGCGGTGTGGCCAAAACAAATGATGACCTTACTTTTGGGACACCCTGTATGTTCCTTGAAGGAGTCATTTTCCTGGTTTAATACCTGTACACTGTACTTAGCTACGTATAGAAGACCTTGGTATTTAAGTGTAGAGTGCTGTGTTATGTGCCGCGAAAAAATGCGAGGTCTCGCCGTATGGGGATTGATGTATCAAGTAGTATTTTCGTAGATGAACATATGTAATGTGTAGTCGAATTTCGGAAGTTATTTTTGCCGTGCCTAGTTGTTAGTCTTGTAAGTGGATGTGGCGAGCCTGAACTATGGAATGAGGCTTTCCCTGGATGAACACACTTCAATTAAGGATCTGCGTGCGTTTATTTCGTACACACCGACCGCTTTCAGTTTACATCATATCGTTTTGTTGATATTAGTTATTAGCTAGTGTTCGTATTGGCGCCAGAAATACCTACGATCTATAATGTATATGCTTACAGGTGTATAAAGATCCTATTTAATCTTATTTAGTCGATATCACATCATCAAAAGGTCGAAATATGTGTCGTTTTCGACTGACCATTCGCTGCGAGACGTGTGACTTGTCATAGTGTGTGTTGGGTGGCATGATCTGAGGCCAAAGGCAGTGAGGTCGGTGACCCTAGTCGCTGTACCAGTTCACACACTCTATGCACCTGGCGACCCTATGCGACCTGCCTGTATCTCTCCCAGTCTAGTCATATGCCCTTCCGCGGTGTGCCAGTGTGTTCGGGTGGCCGCGCGTTACCGATCCAGCGATAGGAATGTAGGGTTCAGCACACGATACCTGCCGACCGCCTCTAAGGCACGTGTCGACGGCCGGCCGACGGGACAGAGATGGGTAAGATAGGCGGCATTTGTGAGGGATGACGCCATCGGCGGTGGGCCGCGCGCGGCGTGCATGGGGCGGCGTGCCGTCGGGTAACGGCCTGTGCTGTTTTGGGGTGGCGAGTGGAAACGGTTTATGTGAGGTGGTAAGGGAACTTGGGTTTGCTGTGTAGACCGGCTTTTGCATATCGTATTCTGTAGATTATGTTAGTTTGCTGTATGTGCTTCGCACGTCCAATAGCCAAGACCAATCTTCCGCAGGGTTAATAATATCACGGCTTTGGACCACCATGTTCCGTAGTTACGTTCCGATTCTCTTTTCAGTCGCCAGTCATGATTACCACTCAGGTCTGCTCATTTTCTCTGATCGCGTCTTGATGTGCGTGCCTCGCCTCGGTTACTGACCTTCCCATGACACTTGGTCTCTCCCTCTCTGAGCGTCCCCTCGGGTCGCGGCCGTCGCTGTATCGCTGTAACACTAACGCCGTCACCTGTGAGACCAATTTACCGCGTCGTCGCCTGGTGGCCCGCGGCCGTCTCCGTAAAATCGCCGGCCGCTCGAACGGGGTGAAAGTGCGACCATTTGCCACCGGCGCGCCGGCATTGTCGACCGAAAACAAACGGCTCCGTGAGGCCGCCAGAGTCTCACTCTGACCGCAGAGAACCGGGTGCGCTTCGCGGCGAGCTACGCTCCTCGAAGACACGCTTCTCGATAGCCTCTCGGGGAGCGATCGAAGCGAGGTTGGTCGTGGGGTGACCCCAGTAGTCCGTACGGGGAAAGCCTAGTGTGGGGTGTCGTGGAGAGGGCTAATGGGCCGTGAAAGTGGGGTGGGTACGTGCAAAGGGCTTTGTTCGTGTGAGGGGCGGCGCTGAAGCAGTGTATGTAGTGTGTGCTACCGTGTGTGCTGTGTCGTGGCGGAAGCGTCACTATGAACGGGGTATCTATGATGAATATATCGTGTATGACGTCAACATCAACCGTTTTATTAGGAATTATGGTGACTTGATATGGTTTACAAAGGGATATACGAGGTGGCATGTCTTTTGAAAAATCCGCAGTAATCTGACTGGTGAACCAGAGCAATCAGGTTCGTCGCGGTCCCTATTCGCGATTACATTTAAGCTTCGAAAGGATGCCAGCGACGATTAGTTATCATGAACGTCCTTCTCTGAAACGCTGAACTCAAGTCACAGTAGTCTGAGTGGACTCAATAGACTAATCGTTCACCGCCTTCGAGGATATGAGTAACCCGCTGCTCCATTTTATCTCGACAAATCTGCCGTTTGATACTATCGGGAGCCTAATCGAAGGCCGTCACGGTTACATTGGGTAATAAACCTTCTGAGGCCGTCCCTTGATGTGTTTCCTTGACCAGTATCTGGGTTATTGGGTGTCTGGTCAATTGACTTAATATTCATAGTCGGTGTTGGAAACCGTGGTGATGTGCTTGAGCTAGGCTAGCGTCTTCCCGGTGAGGAGTCTTGGTTAAATGGCCAGTGGTTTTTAATAGCTGGGTGAGCTGAAAATTGACCTCTCTCGCTCTCTCCTCTCACTCTTCTCTCCCTCTTTCCCTCTATTCCGTCACTCTACCCCGCGCCACAGAAGCGCCGAAGGTATGCCTCGCCACGCTCGACCGCGTCTGGTACCGCTAGCGGGGCCTCTTTATAATGGCCGTGTATCGTGGAACGACCCGTGTTGTGAGCAGCCCTGACTCTCTACCTAAATACCAACGAACTGTTGATATAACGTTCAACTCTGCCGCACTTCGCGTGACAACCGTATGTAACCGGACCTAATGCTAGACGAAACGGTGTCATCGTGATTATGTATTTATTCATCGTTCTGAATCATAACAGCGATGACTGAATAGCCACACTCGGTCATTGTCTCGCCCCGCCGAGTATATGCTACCTCCTAGACGTTGTTGAACGGTTGTGATGCCTAGGATGGTGGTAGGGTGACTGTTACTGCGTTTCAATGAACTCTGGCAGTGGTTCGATAGCGAGCTGACTGCACCGGTAATCGATAGAGCCAGCTCCGCGGACCGGGGAGCCAGGGCTAGACTAGACCCACAGACGGCGCAAGTGAATCTGGAGTGCTATTGGAAAATCAATGTTTGGTGTATGTATGACCTGTGCCTGTCAGGAGTAGGACGGAAGACCCAACCCAAACCACCGGGACTCACAAACCGTGCTGTGCCAAAAAAAAAAAACAGACTGATTTGACTGCTGAGATTTATCCGCGATATTGATATCGATACCAGGTAGGGGGAAGTATGAGAATCGAGGAAAGTATGAGAAATCGGCTGCGCTGCCGCACTGCCGTCACGTCAATGCCAATGGATAATCGTTATGAGCTTCATATCTGTTTTTCTCGGCGTCTGGCTAGCAATCATGACGAAAGGAAACCTTGCTGGCATGCTCGAAGACACAGGACATTGGCGCTGGAGCCGGTAGTTCGAACCTCCGGCCCATCTTTTTGCGGCGGTGACGGGCAGGTGTCGGCTCGTTTCGGTCCAATCGCCGGTGGGGGGACGGGCTCGTATCGCCCCGCTGTGGCCGTGGGATGGGGAGGGCCGGCGGCGTCTGTCCTCAGTGGGGCGGCAGCCGTGTGATGCCGCCATACGGCCGTATATCCGACAGCTGGTGGCCGGCGGACGATGGGCGCGGCGCGCCGCCGCCGCCGCCGCCAGTGGTGGCTCGCTGTGCGGCCTGCGAGCACGGTCGACGGCCGGCGGCGCCGCCCGGAGCCGCGCGCAGCCCCCTCCGCCGGCCGGACACGCCCCGGCCCGGAACTGAGATCAGTGGGTAGCACGGTGGCATGGCAGCCGAGCCGGCCCCGCTCAGTGGCCGGCCCGAGTGGCAACAGAAGCTGCTGCAGAAGAGGAGCGTCTCTGTGCGGCCGGCCGCCGGCAGCGCTGCTGGAACGCCGCCGCATCGTCCGCTCTCCGTTCCGCCAGAGCGGCGCACGAGCGGCGGCTCTGGCTCGGGCGGGACGGCTCCGAGCCGGCGCCGCGCCGGTGCGCCGCCGGATTGGAGCGCGGCGCGTGGCGGCCCGGCCGGCGGCAGCAGTTGGTCGCGAGACGCCGGCCGCGCGGGGTCGGTGCCGGCGCCAGTCACGGAGCACGGTGGGCCGGCGGGCGCAGCGCCGACGCACGGCAGTCAGCACAGTCGGCGCAGCGGGCAGTTCCGCGCAGACACCAGCGACGCATGGCGCAATAGGGAGCTGAGGATGGGCGTCAGTGTGGCTCCGAGTGTGGCGACCGGTGTGCGGCGCGGCTACCCGCGCTCCTACAGACTGGCCGGCCGGCCCGGACACGAGAAAATCACCATGGAGGACTCAGACTCGAGTAGCGAGGAGCTGCGCTATGGGCCGGGCATCGTGTCCCGGCTCAAGGACCGCTACATCTCTATGGCGATGCGGGAGGCGACCCGACGTCCGTCTCTGCGTCGGGTGTCCAGTCTTGAGCACATTGCCAATGCCACGGAGGAGGCTAAGGCAGCTGGAGCGGGGGGAGCGGTACCACTGGACGTCCGGGTGGGGCGGCGGTCTCCGCCCGAGGTCGGGGTCGACTCGACTCCATGAAACGAGCCAAATCTGTGGGCGACCTGACCGCAGCGCGGCCTTCCGGTGGCCAGCCGCTGGCGGACGGAAGCGGCCTCTGCAGCGTCGAGACAGGAAGGAGCCGCAGCCACCACCGCCGGACGCGCTGCCGAGAAGATAGTCATAGTGGAGGAGTCGGGCCGTCGGCCGGCTGCGCCGCCTGTCCTGGTGCCGCCCCAGGGCAGGCCGGCACCGATGGCCGAGTCTCCGCCGCCGGGCGAGGACGCCCTGCCGCCGCCCGACACCGTCAAGACGGTCAAGAGGCTGTTCGAGCCGTCTCCGCGGCGTCCGGCGGTAACGCGCACCGTGCAGGTCAGCTCGCGGCCGTGGCAGATCGGAGCGGCAGGACGCGGCGCACCTCCCCGGCGTCCCGGCCGGCGCCTCTCTCCGCCCGGCCGGCCGTCAAACCGGCCTCGCCGGCGCTCAAGAGCTCCAGCCGAGAGAAGGTGGCCGCCGGGACCGCCCGCGGGCCTCCGCTGAGGGCTGTGCCGGTCCCGGCGCCGTCAGCTGCCTCCCAGCAGTCCTCTCTCACCCCCAGTGAGTCAGAACCATGACGGACGGCGAGCGGCCTCTGAAGATGTGCCCGACCTGGCGCCCCGCCGGCCGGAGAAGCTCACCTCTTGGAGCCAGCTGCGGCAGAGCAGTGTCAGTGAGGGCACTCAGACGCCCAGTCCTCCAGGCACCCCCTTGGTCATCTCGCCGGTCGGCCAGCCCTCCAGTCCGTGCCGACCGCCGGCCGCCCTGAAGAAGTCCCTCTCTCGCGAGTCGAGTACCGAGCCGGCGTCACCCTCCTCGTCCCCGATCAGACGCCAGGTGGGCATCATCAAGCCGAACCGCAAGGTGGAGGCTCGGACGGACGAGTTCAGCCGGCGCAAGAACACGCTGAACCACGTGCGCAACAGCGTGGTGGAGAAGGAGATCGCTGTGATCGGCACCGAGTACCTGAAGCGCCGGGAGGAGGAGGAGCCGGCGCCGCTGACCAAGCCGGCGCCGGCGCTGAACGGTGCCAGGGAGACGGAGGAGAGCGCACCGCCGCCCGCGCTGCCGCCCAGGAAGGCGGTGCTCGAGCCGACCAAGACGCTGCCGCTGACGATCGATACCGCTCCCCCGCGGCCGGCACCCTTCCAGGGCATCATCCTCAAGCCGGTGCCGAAGTCGGAGCTGGCTCGCCCCGAGGAGCCGGCTCCGTCGCCGCCGCTGAAGCCCAAGGCCCGGCAGCCGGAGCCGCAGCCGCCGGCTCCGGAGCCAGTCAGGGAGCCGGAGCAGAAGACTGCCCCGCCGTCCCTGGCCAGACCTCAGCTGGTCACTGCGGCTGTTACCCGACCTCAGCCGGCGGCTGTGACCCGACCTCAGCCGGCGGCTGTGACCCGACCTCAGCCGGCGGCAGTCAAACCGACCTCAGCCGGCGGCAGTCAACCGACCTCAGCCGGCGCCAGTGGAGACCAAGTCCCAGCCGGCAGCGCCCTGCCCCAGAGATCGTCAACAGAGCTCCTGCGCCGGCGAAGCCGAAATGGCACCAGGCGGCCGACACCACCATGACGTTCAACTTCACCAAGCGCCAGGAGGTGCCTGACTATGTGGAGGACGACGGCCTCATCATGCGGCGCCAGCTACCCAAGGTGAGTCCCCAGACAGGTCACGAGAGCGTGACTCGGTTTGCTTTGCCAACTGCTAATGCTGTCCGAGTCCTGGAACCGCAGCATAAAACACTACATGACCGGTTTCTGATCATACATCCTAGAATGTATGCATCTTTGCTGAAGCTCTTCAAAATCTAAGTCTGCGGTTCTCATGCTCGATCTTTCATATGCAGCTAGCGTATTTTGGCATGGTGCATGAGCGTGGTATTTAAAAATTCACCGACCAGTTTTTCGGCCATGAGAACGGATTTGGGAACTGTCCGCCTTCAACAAGGCTGGTGTCTGAACCTTACTTTGGTGTAAAGTATGTAGCCGAGACGAACACATCCTTTCTGAAGTCGTAAAGCTCCCAGTAATCCCAAGTTTTCTTGATTCGTAGAAAGGTTTATTCATGCGAACCAAACTGTCCTCAGTCAAGTCAAGGACGCCGTGTTTTGGTACACGTGTTTTTGTAAACGAAAACAATGATGAATGCACCTATTTATCCGTATTTTTGTTGTATGCCCGAACAATGTCGCCGATCAGAGCTATTCCACCGATGACGCGAGTTGGACGTCATACGGATACTTTTTTATATATTAGCAGTTTTACGATACCAGTCTGTAGGTATGCATGCATGATTATCCTTGCATCGTCCTGCTATATTTGTAGGCATGGTTGATATATTTACTGGTATGTTTATCATTGTTAAATTCGTAAACGGACTGTTACGGACTTCAAACAATGTGGCACGGTGCTGGGTATTGTTATTCGCCCTATGATCACAAGTGCAGGGCGCAGTTCGAATTAGGTCGCTCCCCCCCCCCTTGGACCGGAACTGAGGGGTGCGGTGCCCAAGAACGGTCGCCACGGGCCACCCTCCGCCGCCAGCGCCGGCCGACTCACGGAAGGCGGCCAGGACCGCAGGGTAGCCAGCCGTCCGTAACCAGCCCGTTAAATCAGATCTGTTCAGCGGACCCGCCGGCGTGACACGGCGGCACGAGTCTGTCCACTCGAGGCCAGGCTGAGCCGACTTGGTCGAGGAGTGGTGTAGCACGCTACATCTTGAACATTTAACGTAGTATCTTTTCGGCACGGCTCGGTCCGGCAGTCCCTCTCCCTCGCAGTCCGGCCACACGCCTAGCTCGCTTTCCCACACCCAATTCCCCCCCCCCCCCCCAGTTCCCCTAATCTATCACTGTCCGCACAGAATGGGCAGCCGTTAAACTCCATTAAGACGCGCGCTTTTGGAGACAGCTACCGCAGGATGAACGATTCGAACCCCAACAAGTAACAGCTGGATCAGTAACATTGTCAACAGCTCATGGACCCACGCCGAGGACAGATAACGGCTGGGAGCGCTGGATCAGTAAGATATGTCAACAGATCATGGAGCAGTGTCAAGGATGGATGCCGGCTGGAGCACACAGCCTCCTTTGTCGGGTACATCAGCCCAGGGTGAGTGACCCTGGCAAAACAACCGGGTGACCGACCTCACAATGGCCTCATGAGGTAGTTCCAGAGATCTCCGCAGAGGAAGAAGGCGCTGACTTACGGCCACACCCGGGCCAGTGGGCGGAGCAAGAGTGACGTCACAAGGGGCGTTGCCGGCAGACGAAACGGAAGGAAACAAAAGTTTGAATAAAATGAAATTGAAGAATCAAAATTAAAACTCGAAAATCACAAACCTTTCGGGGATTGTTTTATGCCAGCGATTACTAAAATGATAAAGCACTCAACACGAAGACGATTCGACGGCCAAAAATTGCAGGCACAGAGGAGCAAGGTGACTAAACAGGACAGAGGGCGCCATCTTACGGCCCCACCCACCAGAAGAAGGCAGAGGAAGATGACGTCGCAAGGGCGTGGCAGTCACCCCTCCCCCCCCCCAACTATAAAAGGGTGCGCCACCCAACCAGAGGAGAATCACAGTCGAGCAGCCGAGAGTCACAGTCCACAGCTGGAGCCGGAGACGCCATCTGGGAGCCGCCGTCAGTCCGGGTCACCCGCGAGAAGCCTCTTCGTTTCGAGTGACCAGAGCCGGAGGACAACCGCCGACGCTTGAGACCACACTGAGAAGCGGAAGCGCAGAGAACTCCAGAATGTGAGTGTTGTTGAAAAGTCTGCTCAATCCCAATCCTTGCCCCCCCCCCCCTCTGCCCAGCGTGCCGTGCCCGTGACGACTGCCAAACATTTTCGGTTACCATAAAATGCACTCTCAATTGGAATTGGAAAACTTAAATTACTTTGAACTTATTGGTCCAGACACCCTAGTAGCATGTTAGGATCTGAATTTCGAGGTCATGTCAGAGTCGCCAGCAAACCGTTATTGTCAGTGGGAGTTCACGATTAGGCCAAGAGCGAGATCCGAAAATTTACATAAGTAGCTCAGTGTCACGAACGCTGAAATTGATGACAGGATGCGTGACAACGTTGAAATGTCTTTGTCTTCGGTCAAGATGGTTCGTTCGATTTATTATGGGCGATGGCCAGGTGCGTTTTGAGGTTGGAACGTTTGTGAAATAAAGGGTTTAGATTCGTGCTGTACTCACTAAAAGTTGCATTGCGAAATCATTGGTAATATTGCTGTAATCTAAAATGGAAGCTAAAATGGAAGTCGAAATCAATTATAGAACAGGTAAATACGTTTGAAAGGAATGTAATGTTTAAGGTGGCGACTGATTCATGCGATCGATCTATGAATATGGCTATGAATTATGATTTGCGACAGATACGAATGCTTGAGCGTACGGCGGAATTTTTCCTGTTACTTAGGTGCATAGTTGCGAGCAGTGGTTTGAGGTTGACGGTTTGACACTTTGCGACTTTAGATGGTCACTTTGCGTCATTGAAATTGCGAAATGTCGAGTAACAGGTAGATGTAGAAATGTTTGTGGTTAGAACTAATATGCGACTAATATAGGTACCGATCGTTGTGCTTTGTAGAATAAATACTAGAAAGGACCAGCTTTGTTGGGAAACGATCAAATGGGACAGGAGTAAAAAAAAAAAAAAAACTTACGTGGAATGGAGCTGATGAGATGTCGAACAGGGAGATATCGAAGCGATATTTTACCAGATTCACACTCACTGACACAGCCGTTGAATCTCCCGGCCCGAAGAGACCGCACACACCAGTACTGCACCGCGAGTGATGACGCGCCCATCGCGGCGCGGCCTTGACAACTGTCGACTGTCGACGCGGCGCCGGCCGGCGGCCGTCGTAATCGTCGTTCCCGACACGGGCGTTGAGCCGCCAGAGGGCGCGAGAAGCAGCCACAACAGGGGCAGTGGGTTAGCCGTAATTGGGGCGCGGGCGGTAGGTGAAGGTCACGTATAGGAGTCTGGTTAGTTGCGGAAAGTTGCAACGGGATAAGAACGTAGACAGTTAAATATGATATGCTATATGATATCTAGGACTGCACTTCGTTTGATGCGCATTGTTTACTGCTAATAGGATGATTTAAATTAGATTCCCTATGAAAGGCTAGGGACCCTATGACAATATTCTGGCACTCTATAAAGATAATTTGTTTAGGTAACTAGTAGCCCATCAGAAGCTATCGAACGAGTTTCAAGGAGGCATTTCCGTTTGAGCATTCAGTAATTCACTATGGTACGGTGGATCACAACCAGACGGCAGATCGATGCGTGTTAATTGGTTCTAGATCATATGTCTGATTAAATCAGAGCGGTTCAAGGTCTGCTAGGATTGTATACGAGAACTGATGATAAGGTTCACGCGTGTAGCAGCAATTAGGACTTGAGATTACGATTAGATTTGGTTAAATTATGCGTTTCTGCTATTCGCGTTCTTGCGAGTTAGCGCCAATAATTACTCCAACAATATTGGCACAGGGCATTGTGAGGCACAGACGGCTTGTTTGCCCGCCTCCTATGGCGTAACGTTTACCAGCATGACTGTATGAGACACAGATGCACTTCTCGAAACCCACGTCCAGACCGGAATAATAAGAGGGACACACCGTCACGTACGCAGGGCATATGCACGTTTTCCGCCAGTGGTACCGGCCACTGTTAATTTTCCCGCTTAGGTAACACTGGGTGAGAAGGCAGTGAGAGGTTTCTACGGCAGGGGGGAAGGGGAAGATTGGCACAGTATGCAGTGGAGAGTAAGTTATGCCAAAGGTAAGAAGCCGAAGGTCAGGGGTGAGTCACCCAAAGGGCGGATAAGGCGAGCCGTAGTGTCCCGGATAAGTCCTCATACTTATTTCGTAAAGGTACTCTAATCGGTACTGGACAGCCTCAGGGGAGGGAAGAATGTACTCCAGGACACGTAAGGCCTTGAATAGTAAATCCCATGGTTAAGGATAGTTCCAGGATATGAACTAGGGTCCCTGGGTCGTGAACGGGAATGTTACACGCGGACCGGAAGAGGGCATAGGTAATCTCTCCCGGTAGAGAGATAAGTCGGATATAAATCGTGTATGTGTGTACCATAAGTCTATCGGTCGTGTAGTGAATCCCATAAATTAGTAGGGTGGATATTTATGCAATTATTCTGGACGGCCCTGCGGTAAGTATCTTTGTCGCCGGTTAGCGGAGCATGCATATGGATTTCGGAAAGAGACATTTATCTCGCCGGGGAGATCGCTATTAGTCAGGCACCTAACGCCATCGGAGGGAATTCGAGGGGCGCTAAATAAATTTGGGGTGAATATATGACGAACGAACGTCGAGAGAGGATGAGAGTGAGAATGGTAAAGGATGAATCTTAGGATAAGGCCGATGGGAGTTTAGCGAAGCTCAGTTAGGACAGTCAAACTAATTAATCTCGAGGGCAACTTAAAACTAGCAACGCTAATACGAATTAAGTGGGCAATTTTCTTAATGGGAAGGCCAGTGATATAGGAATGGGTGACTGGACGAATGATCACATTCAATTTATCAATGTAATTACCACCCATATGTTTGGCAGTGGTCATCGGGACTTCGAATGCCCTGTCCTTCACCTGCCCAACTGTGCCGCAAACCCAGCT